CAGCATCCTGGAGGCAGACATGCTCAGCTGCTCATGTCCAGCCCAGGAGACTCACCAGGACAGTACACTGCTTCCCTGAAAGGCCAAATTACCATGGCTGGTCCTGGGAGGGTCCATGACTTACCAGCTGGCCCCTTGTCCTCTGAGCTGGCCCTGAGGCCTAGGAGTACCAGGACGTAGGGCTTGGCTGTTGAGTATCTTGGAAAGTGTCCCACTTGACCTTGGGACCTCTGTGGTCAAGTGAGGGAAAGCCTATGACACGGTGTCGGTTTTTATTGCACCCAACCACCGGGGACGTTTGCCGTCATCTGGAGTGATGGAGAAAATTAAGTTACCACATTCTCACGTTTCAGCCTTTTGCCCGTTTTCCTTCGCAAACAGGAAATGTTTATTTAAATACAGCAGTCTCCAGCATGTGCTGGAGCCAAGTGAAAAACCAAAGATGTCCACTCTTGCCCCACTCTGCTGTTCAGGCCACCACCTCTCCGCGGGTGAGAAGGGGGCCTCTGCCTGCCTCCAGGCAGGACAGGGAGAAGAGGCCCCACGTGAGAGTTCGTTTTCATCTGTCTCCTCTTCTTCCAGGCCGAGATTGTGGCTGGAGAAGGATTACATCTGTGGGCTCCTTTTGTGCTCAGAAGGGTAAATGCAACATCTGTTTACTCTGTGCTCCACGGTAAATGTTTTGTTTCAGGCACCACCATTCACTTCCTCTCGTCTCGTCCTCTATCTTTGCTGCTCGGGTAATAAATTATACTGAGTTCTCCTCGGCGTTTATTTAGCTTTCTTGTAGGTGTCACCTCCTCAATGAGTGGGAAAAATTGTCAGTAGTTTATAAAAGACAGAGAGTTTCTCTTTCTGTGTGATGTGCTGACATTATGGCGAAGAAGCTGGAACACAGACCCCAGCTCTGATACTGGCTTAATTATGAACAATTTAACAGGCCCCATTCTAGGCCTGAAGCAAAGTTCAAATGGTGACCACACTATCATTATAACTCAGATTCTCCTGCATGTTGTACAGTGAGTGGACAATTCTCAGAAGTCGAAAGCATCCAAAGAAGCAATAGCCACCCCGACTCGACACACTCAGAATAAAAAAGAAAAAGAAAACTCATTCATAAAAGTGTCTTTGGGAGGCAGAGGTGCAGGAATGGAGAAGGGGAAAAAGGCCTCTTCTTTGTTATGAAATATAATTTAAACATTTGCGATTAAAAAAAACTGAATTGTAGGAAGGTCCTAAGCATCTGACTACAGTGCTGGCAAAGCTTACGCCCCATGGAAAAATGAGCCCTGCGAAGTTTAAAAGTCTCACCAAAGGCAGTTTCCTTCTTCCGTCTTCTGCTTACATTCTTTCAGTTGAATTGCTGGTTTTCTTCTGTATATGCAAGAACTTTATATACAGTTACTGGAACACAGTAGACACTCAAATAATGTTTGTTGAATGAATGAAAGGAGGGATGAATGAGGAATGCCTCCCTCAAGAAATCCTTGGCATAGCTTAGAAATGTCAAATATCCCCAACAGCTTGCAGAATTGAAATGTTACATCTGAGTTGATCAAGAGAGGGTGTAGGGTAGTGAAGGACTGTTGATGGGCTGTTTCTAAACCCTGCCTTGATCCTGACCCAGCCTGCTCCTGAAAGCTACCCCAGCCCCACCACAGGGAGGAAGAAGAGTAGAAGGAGGAGTCAGTCTTGGCATCCCCCATCACCCCCATGCACCCCAGCCACAGTGGCACCAGTGACCAGAACCAAGGCAGATGAAACCGAGATATTTCCAAGCAACTTCTACCCTGCCAATGTCTGTCAGGGACCATGACTGCAGCAGAGGGTCCATGGGAATGCCCACGACTCCAGTTTCCACTAAGTTTCTCCAGTTGTGGAGCAGACAGGCAGTGCTGAGCTGCCTGAGTCTCCCCGGAGAGGTAGCTGGATGATACGCTGGCTGCAATGCTGTGCCTGCAGCTTTTGAAAACTTCTGACATGCTAGGAGGACAGGGGCCCACTCTCCTTGGTTTCTCAAACATGCAACATGATTTTGAAGATGGGAAAGAAGCAGCTTCAAGACCCCAAGCAAGCGAGCTAATGTTAAAGCAAGCTGAATATTTGCAAGGTATATTCCTTGCAGCAACAGCAGCTGCCTATTCTAAGACACAAAGCCATCCAGAGCCCTCCTAGGACTGTCTGTTTACAGATCTTGGCCAGAATTGACTCTTGCTGCAAAGATGTATAGCAGAGTGGTAAGCGGCATGGGCTTGGGAGCCAGGCAGGCTTAGATTCAAACACTTACTGCCAACATGCCCTTAGGCAATTGACAAAATGCCTAAACTGTAAAATGGGGCAATAAACATTACCTGTATAGCTAGTAGGAGCCCTGGTGGTGCAGCGGTTAAAGCGATCGACTGCTAACCAAAAGGTCGAAACCACCAGTGGCTCTGCAGGAGAAAGATGTAGCAGTCTGCTTCTGTAGAGATTTATAGCCTTGGAAACCCTACGGAGTCACTATGAGTCAGAATCGACTTGATGGCAGTGCGTTTGTTTTTGTATTTTTTTCTTATGTAACTAATAGGAGCCCTGGTGGTGCCGTGGTTAAGAGCTCGGCTGCTAACCAAAAGGTCAGCAGTTCGAATCCACCAGCTGCTCCCATGGGGCAGGTCTACTCTGTCCTATAAAGTCGCTATGAGTTGGAATAGACTCAATGGCAACAGGTTTGGTTTTTTAGTTTATAAAACTAATAAGAAGCCCTGGTGGTACAGTGGTTAAGCGCTCGGTTGCTAACCAAAACGTCAGCAGTTCGAACCCACCAGCTACTCCTTGGGATAAAGATACGGCAGTCTGCTTCCGTAAAGATTACAGTCTTGGAAATTCCATGGGGCGGTTCTACTCTGTCCTAGAGGGTCACTATGAGTCAGAGTCGATGCAACAGCAGCAGGTTTGGTTTTTCTTTTTTTTTTTTTGGTTCATACAACTCATCTACCACCTGCTTGCATGATGTTGCTATGATGCTACAAACTATGCTCTCGGTATTTCATATACCAGCAGGGTCACGAATGGTGGAGCTTCCAGAGTAAGACAGACTAGGAAGAAAGGCTTGGAGATGTGCTTCTGAAAATTAAACAGTGAAAACCCTATGGTTCACAGCAGAATATCGTTCAATATACTGCTGGAAGATGAGCCTCCTATAAGGTTGGAAGGCCCTCAGAATATGCAGTGGCCACAACAGTGGACTGGAGCATATCAATGATTGTGAAGATGGCACAGGACCGGGCCATGTTTTGTTCTGTTGTCTGTGGGGTCGCCATGAGTCAGAGCCAACTCAATGGCAACTAACTGCAACAACATATAATAGGACTGTTGTGGAGATTCAATGAGAAAACACATATAAACAACTTGAGGCATGGAAAGCATTCATTCAACATCAGGTAAAGTTACTATTTCACTAACACAGTGGCTGGCACTGGTGTGAGGAGGAGGAGGACTTAGTTTATATGTTATTGGTACCCAAAAATACCACTAAAACAAGTTTGTCACTGGTAAGTCATGGTATAATGTCTGTATTCTGGATTCTAGCCCCTTTGTTGCCATAAATTTACTGTATGACCTGGTGCAAATCAGTTCACATTTCTGAGCTTCATTTTTTACAAGTGTTAAAGAAGCCTCAGCTCTAACCCTCTAGGATTGTACGGCTCAACCTGATGGAATAATCACTGAACAAGGGGGACAAAATGTTTTGAGCCAAAGGAAAGCTCCAGGAATAAGGAAGGCAGTTCTATTAAGTCTCCACCCAGAGATAACATAGAGTAAGTGGAAGAGAAGAACTGGGGTGAATGGGGCTAGGAGGTGAAAACAGAAATAACACACTCTAGGAAAATTCATCTTAGGCGCAACACCCCTCTATTCCAGCAGACAGAATCAAAGACCCAGGCACCGACCCCTAAGACACGTGAGGAAAGTGGGAGAGACTGAGAGGGAGACATGGAGAGTGGACGATCACATTTCAGCAAACCCTCACCCACTTCTCAGCTCTGTTCCCAAGACATTTCCCACCCCTTCCACCATTTCTCCTTCCTTCCCCACCCCCCACAAGGGCCGGCTAAGAGGAGCCCACCCCTGGAGTCTAAGTTTTGAATTTGGTCTGAGGATCAAAATGATAAATGTTTCCAAAACGTTGACATATGAAAAGTAAATATTTGGTTGCACAATTGGGGTTAAAACGAGGGTCAATCCACCCTGCTCTCCAAGCGCCTCTCCACAAGCTGCCAAGCCCAGGATCCAAGGCTGAGTGCGGTTTGTAAGATTATAGCGCTGGGTCTCATTTAAAGGGCTGTCAGCATTTCCATTCTCCGGCCCGTTTGGGGAGGCATTTAAAACCGAGCCATAAAAAATTCACCCGGGCTGTAACTTGGCATCTCGGAGGCTGCGCTCCACGCAGGGCGGGTTTCGTGAGCACCCACTCTGAATTCGTACGGTTCCTCAGAAGTTAGACCTTCACACACACTTTGAACTTTCCTTTGCAAGGGCAGCCAGAGAGCGGATGGCCCGTTCTCATCTCCAAGCCGATCACAGTCTCAGGCCCTCTCGCCAGCCTCCTGACGTACCCTGACGCCTTATCACCCTTCAGTTTTCTCCCTGTATCCTCAGTAACGAGCGCAGGCTCTTTACCCTCACCCCAAGACCTCACTGGCTGCAGTATCCTCTCCTCCCCTCGCCTCCTACCAGCGGTCTCCTTAGAAGCTGTCAGCGGGCCCTGCGGCTGGAGCCCTTGCCGGTGGAGGGGCGCTGCTCAGTGCCCATCGCGGGGGGCTTCAGGACCTTTATCCTTATACCTGCCCAAAGCCCCAAATCCCCAACTCAGAGAGTGAGAATTCGGATCGCGAAAGGGGTGAGAGCAGAGATGGCATCCGGCGCGGCCAAGAGGAAAGGAGGGATCTGGCGCCTGGGAGCCCCTCCCTGGGGCCCAGGTGGGTGGCCCGGGTGGGGCGGAGCGGACAGGGGGTACTCACAGGCGCTCGGCGTTGCGGGGGATGCCCCGTGGTACCGCCCGGAGGCCCAGCCCGTGGCAGTCGACGCTGGCTGCGGAGCAGGTACACTTGGTGGGGCAGGCGGCGGCGGGGGGCCAGTTCAGGACGTTTGCCAGCGCCAAGGCCAGAGCCAGGCGGGCGCGCACGGCGGCGCCGGCCCCTGTCCGCCGGGGGGCCATGGTGTGTAAGGGCCCGCGCTCTGATGAGGCTGCCTCGGCGGGGCAAGACGCGTGGAGCCCAGGGAGGCGCGCGGGGAGCGCAGGCGGCCTGAGGAGCAGGCGGCAGAGTTGGCGCGGAGGAGGGGCGAGCTCGGCGCTCAGGCGCACGGGGCGCGGG